TGGGCTTTGCAGAGCTACTGACCCTGCTTTGAGTGCAAGGCCCACCTATGGTTCTGCCCTGGCAGCACAGCCTGCACCTTGCTGGGTGGAGGGCAGAGAAGGAGAAACTATTTTTAGCTGATGTGCAGCCCAGCTTAGTCCCAGCAGGGTTGACACTTCTCATCCCCTCAGACAGGCCTGAGCATTTTGCAAAAATCAGCATTTAAAAAGCAGATCAGTTGCAGTAGCTCTTGGGGAGGGAGTCGAATGGTGACAGGTATTGTTTAGCTTTCTGTCCCTTCATAGTGTATGAAGAACAGGACAGAAGCCAGAGAGAGTTACCTGGAGCTGTACTCTCCAGCAAGGAGGACATCAGTTGCCTAATGTGGGTTTTATGTCTCTGCCACCCCCCAGCTTCTCCCAGGCCAGAACGAATTAGTTTTAAAAATACTGAGATACTTTGTGACATGACTTCACCTCCCAACTCCCACAGCTGAGGAGACAATGTCAGCCTCATGTGACACAAGGGGGTCTTTATTCTTTCTTGCCTCAAATAGCTGTATGTCACCACTAAGTGCCACTAACTTTCAGCTCTAACATTGTTCTGGCAGTGGGTAACGTGGCCAATATGGATAAATACACTGCTCCCCAGCACACACACACACACAGAGGAGCATGCACATCCACTGCCAGCTGCAGCTGCAGCCCACAGACACAGCAGGCTGGACGCTCTTAGCTTGTGTCGCAATCCGGCTGGCCTACCAAAATAAGCATATTTACACACCCAAATAAACAGTGGAAAAAGCCCAGCTGAACTGTTGACCAGAAAAGTTAGAACAGGAAGTAACTAAAGAAAGCCAAAACCTGTTATATTTGAAGGGCTTAGTTTGTTGGTTTTTTTGTTTTTGTTTTTTTTTTTTTTTTTTTTTTTTTTTAACTGACTCTCATCATTAGTAAGTGCTGAAACACTGTTTTGAATCATGTGAAGCCTCTGGTACTCGGGAGCAAAGGCTCAAGCCTTTCTGAGCTTCTGGAGGGGCTCCTCATCCACCAGGGCAGCTGTACCACTGTCCCCGTCAGTGCATGCCATGGAATACTTTTTCACTTCTTTTTTTTTTTTTTTTTTTTTGTTGATTACTTTTGTTTTATTACTTCCCCAGTTTACAAGCACTCTTGGTGTTACTTCCTTTCACATGACCCCAGAGAGGGATTTTTCTGGGCAAAGACTGATTCATTCTTGGGTGATTGCTGCAAAGGAGCTCCTGATTTTGGCCTTTTGACCCTGGCCAGGTCCCCTTTCTGCTCTTTGGGCTGCCCTGTCAGACATACATTTAGGAAGTGCTGCAGGAGGAAGGCGAGGATGATCTTTCCTCACCGAACAAAGGACTCTAGAGGCTCCTCGGGATCCCCTCAGCCTTTCTGCACACACAGCACCGCTGGCAGAAAGCAGGATTCCCAGGTGCTCACAGACAGCCACTGCCACAGGGGACCCCGGGAGGCCTCAGCTCCTCCTTCAGGCGGCTGGTTTGCAAGCATGGGACACACCTGCGAAGGGATGGCAGGGATACCCCTCCATTAGCCACCGGCAAGAGCCGCTTTCACCATGAGCACCTACACACCGAGCGACGCTCTTGCTTTCCTCCCAAAAGGCAGAGGAAATCAATCCTCTCTGCGATCCTTGCCCCCCCAGGGCCGGCATGTCGCCGCTCAGGGCGGGGAAGAGGGAAACGGGAGCAGCTGCGATCCCGGGCCTTCCCCCCAGCTAAGCCCTGCGGTTCACCCCTCCCGCCCCGGTGCGTGGGCTGAGCCCTCCCTGCCCGGCTGCGGGAGATGGGATCTGCCCGCGGGAATTCCCCACGCAGCCACTGCGGGCGCCTCCCGGCCCTCGGCAGCAAAAGGGCTCCGGCATCCAACATTTACTTCTTCACCCAGAAGTACGGTCTGGAAACAACCCAAGCGGGGAGAGCAGGCGATACCTGGTGAGGAGGAGGCCCCGGTCCCGCCTGGAAGAGCCGGCGTCCCGGGCAGCGCGGGGGCCGCCGCTCCCCTGTCCCGGGGCGCTGCCGGGGCCCGGCTCCGCTCCCGCTGGATGAAGGAGCTGTTTGTGCCCAGGCCCAGGCTCAGGCCGCCTCCGGCGCTGGCAGCGCTCCCGGAGCGCCCGGCAGCCTCTGCCAGGGCCGGGCTCTCTGCCGCCTGCCAGAACTTTCCCCCCTGATATTCCTTCTGGGGGAGGCCCAACTGGACCCGCTGTGCTACAGGGAATACATTGTCCTTTTCCGTCCCTCACAGGCAGTCATGTTTGAGTGCTTTGGAGCTGCCTGAGGATTGCCACAGCGCTTGGGCAATGGCGCGAGCGGCCGGGAGGGGAACTCCAGCCTCCACAGGTCGCTGAGGAACGAGCGGGCTCCTGCCAGACCGCAAATCCCTAACGAGCGCAGCCAGGCAGGGCTGTTTTCGGCAGGAAAACATGAGTTTGTCAAAAACAAACCTCTCTGCAGGAGCCCTGGGATGAAATTGCATGCCATATTCCTCGGTTTATTGCCTCCCGGGCCTTAGCCGTTGTCAGGATATTTTGGCTAATATTTGACAGCCCGAGCATTCGTCCCTGAACACTCTCAGCAGGACAATATTTGCCGACCGCTCCCCTCCAGCCCTGTGGAAGAGCATTTGCAATGGATCTTTGAAGCAGGTGCCTTTTCTCTGTAGCCATTTGAATTCAGACCAGCAGCCATCCAAAGGGTATCTGTATGAAGAGCAACAGCGTGCGCCACACACGGTGGATTGTTCTTGCCTCCCAGTCTAGCTGTGCTCTGAAAACTAAAGCCATGATATATTACATATCACTGATCTTTAAGATAAATAAATTTTTAAAGGATTGTCCCTTCAACAGTGACAGGAATAAGGCATAATTCTCCCAAATTATTGTATAGCTAGATTTTTTTGAGTGTTCTGAAAATAGGGGATTAAGACAGGGAAGGCAGCAGAAAAACAGAGGTTTGCTTGTTTAGAAGTTAAATTTTTGGTGGGCTTGCTGTATTGTAAAATGAACACTGGTCTAAGTCATTGCAGGATATCTGCAATAGCTTTGGAAAGGATCCTCTCGCATATGGAAATCTACAAATATAAATGGAGGTTGCAGTTCCAGCTAAGATAAAAAATGCCTGCTACTTCTCCTCCTGAGATTCTACTGCTTATTGCTTAGAACTTTGCCAAATTTGAATGATTTGGATCACAACGTTCTGTGACAGATGTTTGTGTAAGTCTGGATGTTTCAGGGAATTCTCAGTGTGTTTTTTTCCTAAGAATAAGATGCAGGAAATTCAAACTGGTTTGGGATACCAAATCTAATAATAATATTATTGAAAAGAATATTCTTTGGGCTAAAGTATTTTGCAAAGGTGAACAAACACATTGTGTTTGGTAAAGTGCAAGTCATGATTTGTGTGTTTGGGAAGAGACTGCCAGCCTTCTGGCACAGAACAAACACAGCCCTGATTGTACTTGGAGCTCTTCCTGAACCATGACTGGCAGTGGCATCCCAGCACACCACCAACTCAGCTTGAGCAGTGCTTAAGAAGTGTTTCCTTTTACCTTAGCATTCCCTCTGCTGTGTGTGCTATCCTGAACAGGCAGAAATGATCTCTCTGAACACAGCAGTGCTGACCTATTTCAGATCTTGTGAATGGCATGCACCATTTTTGCAATCTGCCCATTCCTATTGAAAAGCTTTGTGAAAATATTTACTGAGAGATAGCCCAACCATTTAGGATGGTTGTTTTGCCATGCTCCTGATTACCTCAGTCAAATCCACTTTTTAATTTCATCACTGGCAGTGGAGAAAATCTTTACAAGAATCACCCCTTGGTGCTGTTTTGTTCTTATTCCTATGCAAGTCTGTTCATCTCCACGTGGATTATGAGGCAATGTTAATAACTAAATGCCTATGAGCATTCCATAGCTGGATCCTACTTATCTGCAACAAATGCCCAAGCGGTAGCTATGGCTTGTATGTTAGCCAGGAATGCAAAGACAGAAGAGGGGTTTGTCCCTAAATGAGATATTCCCCATTACTTCTGATTATTCATGCACCTAGGTTAGTAATTTTTTAAAGTGTTGTTTTGTCCAGAAACTGGAATCTGTAATCACTGCTTATATACTACAAAAAAGGATATTTTCCCATATGAAGTATATACTTCTTAGGCTTGATTGAACTCAGTGCTCTTGAAATCAGTCTATCAGGCTTGATTTAAATTTCTCAGCTTTAGCAGCAACTATTTGGACCATTCACTGCAGTTACTTTCAGAGAGGAATGTAAATCACCTGGCAAGGATGCATGAAGCCTTCAAAACGCAAATGATGAAGGAAAGCAATGAGTGTAACTTGATCAGAAAATACAAGATTAATAAAATATGCATGGAATGTTGATTCATTTGCACTAATTAGAGATTTAAGGGATGTGAAGAATAAATAGGTTCCTTAGATGCTCGGAGGGGACAAATAACAACAGAGCTATGAATTGCTGCAATTCTTATTTTCCTTGCACTGTCAGCCCACTCCAGTTCCCTCATGAGGAAGCTATAGTTATTCTTCACGTGCACTGAACACCATGTGCTTACAAGTACATTGTTCTGTCAATCCTGTGGTACCTGCTCTCTCTTCTGGTAACTCACACATTCCTCAGTATCTGCAGCTGTTTTTGTCACTGCTGGACATGTCTGAGGGACTACTGCTCCAGTCAGCATATACAAACAAAGGCAAGAAAGAATCATGTTTTGCCTGCAACTGAAATGCAAAACATGTCACATTTTTAATGCACCTTTTGTCATAGTCACCACTTAACACATTACCCAAATCTTGGTTTACACCTGCAAAGACAAACAGGGAAAAGACATGACATGATATTTGTCATCCTAAACCATAGGATCTCCATGCCAAAACACCAGCCAGGCCTCTTTAAGGGAGTGTGAACCAAATGAAGAGTTGGTGATAGAAGTTCATTAAATCAGGTAAAGGTGTAAAGATTAAAAAATGCGTGTCTGACTTTATTCTTGCACATAATTTCAGATAATAAATACACATTTAAAAAAACTCATTGAAATATATTGTATTAAATCCACAAATTCTGGGCAAACAAACTTTCCTATGAGTACATATTTCCCCCATGTAACCAAAAGACACGCTCCATGTAGTACAGAATCTTGTACAAAATTATTAGGCTATCAGAATATAGACGTGTTTTAGTCTTTCTTCCTCTGAGAGCTAACTAATTGTCAGCATTGAGTAGAATTTTCCCTTATAGAATAAACTCAGTTTTTCTCAACTCTCTATTTTCTTTTTAGTCCTTGTGTCTAATTTCTCCCCCTGGAATCTGTTCTAGGATTCAGACAAACATGTTTCAGATGTTTGTAAAGGGCGCAGGATGAATCCAGAGCCTCCTTTTTGCAGTCACAAATGCCTTTCTGGACCAAGAGCCCATGGCACAAGTGAGCTCACCTTTTCCTAAGCCTTTCCAAAAGGCACTCACAGGCCATGCACACTGCTGAGCCAAATGCCACTGAGGCTTCCTAAATGACTGCACCTAAGGGGTTGGTAAAATAAACCTGTGGAAGACACAGGAGAAGGCAAATAAGTCTTTCATTCCATGCCAGAGCTGGGATGTCAGGCCATTTTGTCTTTCCACAGAGCCACTACACAAAAGCCCTCAGCCTTCAAGGAGTCTTCAACCCTTGTTCAGACATTCAGGGTGTCAGCCAAAGCATATGATAACCACACATGTTTGCATAGCATCTTTTTTCTACATAGTTGGTTAAATTACAGAATTTTGCACAGAGAAATTGAATGATGCCGTTAAAGTAGAAAATACATATTTTTGTATAAGATATTAAACGTTAAAAATACAATTTTGAAATGCCAAACACATGTACTTATTATTTTTCCTTAGTTATCATTAAACTAATAATAGTTGCTCGTATTCTTATATTTAACTCAGAAAGGTATGTCCTTAACAAATTGCAAGGCTATCTAATACAACTGGGTATCAAATTTCGGACAAAAACATTTGCCATCATGCAATAGTGACCAGCAATTAAGGCAGATAAGGACTCTAATTCATTATCTCACAGAACCATTGTGTAACTCCAGAGACATTGAAGAGCACAAAAAATTTGCACTAAGATAAGGATGACAAATACAAACATAAAAGGACTTGTGTACTGAAGTGAGGAGCTGTGAAAATTAATTCTTATGAGAACTGAAATGAAAATATGCCCCATAGGAACAGAAGCATTTGTTCTCAAACTCAGTGCTCTCTTGCAAGAGGATTTAAAAAATCTATGAATACTTAAGAGAAAGAAAACTCACCCTGATTTTCCTGCATTTATAATGCATGACTAGTGTTAAACATATATTTGCCCATATGGAAAAAACAAGCAAATAGAAATGCTAGAGACACAGAGATACATGCTATTTCCTTTTTTTTAAAGTAATATTCTTCCTCAGGTTAAAGAATAGGATACCCCAAGGCAACCTCCATGCTACTGATGCATAAAATCACAAAAGATGTACCTGTAAATCAACAAACATTTTATTTCCAAGGAAAAACAGTAACATCATTAGTTCAGGGAAATTCAGGGTCATTTGAATTAAAGACCAAATACCAACTGACTTCAGTGACAAGAGGAAATGGCTTTTGGGGTTAAACCATCAAGTTCTTGGAGACGTAAGAACGGAATCAGTTACTCAGCAGGTAAGGAAGTAGAAAAATTAATTGTAAATATTCTTTAATACCTTGTTAGAAATAGACTGTACTGTTCCTAAACGTTATGAGTAGTGAGTTTTAAGATAGATGGGTTTAGATAGAGTTTTGAGATATTAAAAGAGGGAGTATCAGTGTGAAAAAATCCCAAAATAAGGAAAGAATTTGGAGCTCTGTGTGTGGGGAGGGTGGTTGTAAGGCAAGACAGTACCAGTTTAATTCCTTGTTATGTGTATTGCATGGTGGTGGTTTTTTAGCATGATTAAACCCTTATTTAAGGCAGGGCAGGAAGAGTTTGGCAGTAGATCTTGCAGATAAAGAGAGCTGCTCTGCTCTGGGAAGTGGAGGGGGACCTGAAAGCAGTGGAAGAATACTGGGTTTGCTCTTCAGCAAAATAAAAAACCACAGCATGTGAGTAATCTGATCTTCAGTCATCAAAGTATGTATTCAAGTCATTCTCAGAATAATGATGGGATTACTCACAGGGGGAAGGTTAAGCGCTTTTGCTGAACTCATATCTGGACAGAAGCCACAGTATTCTATGCAGGTCTTTCTGGAGGTTTTCCCTGCAAACACTGGAACACCCACAGAACTGTAAGAAGCATGAAGACTCCTTTCTGCTTTCTATGTAATTATCTCAGAGACACTCCCTAAACTTAAATTTACTGATTTTTGCTTGCTTCAGAGCATGTTGATCCTCATATAGGTATTATTTTCTCCTAATACCAGGACCAAATTCTAGGACAGTGCAGTGAAGAATAAAATCTTTTATAAGGGGATATAAACCATTATTCTGGTTTCAGAAATCATTGAAACTAATAAAACTGTGCAAATATAATTTAAAAATGTGGCCATTAATTTCTACAGCATATAGAATATCTACTAATATAGATATCTTTTGGGGTGGGTACATGGCAAAGATCAAGGAAGACTTGTTTTGATGAGACCATGCCATGAGAACAGGGGCCTAAGAGGGAAAAACACTGATTTCAAACCAGGGAGGACTGAATTCACACAACCCAGGCAAGAGAGGGCTGTCTGAACCTCAACAGCAGATGTTCCTGTGCTGCTCCCCTCAATCCAAGGGTGGTCAAGCAAAGGAGATGCAGATCCTCAGACAAGGAAGAGAGCTCTAGAGATAGACTGAAAAAGGAGAGGTGGGAGAAAGCCATAAAAGAAACAGCCAGAATGATGCATTCCTATCTATCAGTTTTCTATGGTCCAGAGTCATAAGGTAGAACTATTGCACCAACAATAAGTGTTGATGCACATGAGGTGTAGCAGCAGTGGGATGTTTTGACACTTTGACTAAAACTACCGTCTTTGAAATTCTATATTTCTAACTGGTTAGATATAATAAGGAAAAAATGAGTTACAGACATCTAATCTATGAGAAAAATGGTGAGTGGAAACCGTTTCTACCAAAAATTAATAACTAAATCCACTTCTCTGCAGAGAGCCTGAATAAAAGCCATATGCCATTTATTCTTTTCCACTGAGGACTACGAAGACCTTGCTGGAGGCATTTGGCAATGTTGCTAGTCTAGCTCTTAGAAGTTATGAAAAATCTGATGCTAGATCTAATCTTAAATAAGTGAGAAAGGGTGCACTGAAGTAATAGTCTGGAATGAATATGACTTTAAATGGGATCAGGCAGTTTGGTTTAATCTAAACTAAAACAGCAGTAGATCCAGTGAACTTTTTTTATTCCTAAACCCCTAATAAAAATACACTTGCCATTCAACAGAATGAATATACAAACTATTTGCACATTTTGCAAACTTAGTATTATTTTTTCAGTCAGAAGCTGTGCCATAGAATACTTTCCTTTTGTTAGCAATGGCACCATTTCTAGTAGAAAACTTGAAAGAAAAAGAAAAAGAATAAATTACTTCAAAATTATCTACATGACCTGATGCAATGATACTGACAACTGCAACAGGAAGAGACCAGGCAGGGCACTTTGTTGTAGGTTGACAAATCTAACTGCAGAAAATGTGAAGCAAAGAATTGGCATATTTTTTTTACATACATGTAATCAGGTAGGTTCCGACATTTAGAGAAATCATTCCAACTGGTCACAGCAAGTCAGACAGGTGTTTTAAAGTCTGGGTAAGTTAGATAAGGGATCTAGAAATCCTACCAAATTTTCTGCAGTAAGTCAGTCACTTTGAAAAGGTTTCATACAATTGCTCTATTGAAAAGGGAAGACAGAATACAAAGTAAAAGGCACAGATGTTATAGAACAGTCACATTTCTTGAATACACAGATCATATAAATTAGATAGTGATTAAAATTGGGAACAGCCATTTTGCTACTGCTTTATTTGTCAGTGCTGACTCTTTCTTGACCAAACATCTCTATCTTTTCTAATGCTGCACCACTATGTGCTGGAGGAGTCTTTTCTGAACAGCTTTTCTTGTTTCTTCCCATTTCTGTAGCTTCCACCAAAGTATTAGTCAATGGTTTTCCCAGTGTTTCTGGAAGCATTATGGTTAAGATTCCACTCAGAAGAGCCATGATTCCAACAAGCAACTGGAAGAAATAAACAGTAGCTGTAAAGGTAAATAAGTCTTTCAATCTAACAATAGTTTTGATCTTGCTTGAAAGTAAATCTAAAATAAAGCACAAAGAACTGCAAAGCAAAGATCATAATTCTTAAATGTTGCCTGTATAAAAGATCTACCTTTTTGTTGCATAAATGAAAAGATTATGCAGCAGAATTAATGAATGAGCAAGTGAAGTGTTTTGTTCACAAGGGATCAGTACAGTGCAAGCAGGAATAATTCTGTTTGAGTAAACAACACATATTACCTTCATTCAGCATTTCAGCATCAGGAGTGTATTTAAGAACTGATTCTAGGATTGCATACATTTTTTTTACAGGCATGTTTGCAGAGCTACAATTTCCCTGCCACCTGTAATCTCAGTTCACACTCCAGCTCCTGTGTACCTGTACCTGTGTGCTTGTTGCTTCTCCACACAGCCAGATTGGAATTTCTCAATATGGCTCATTGGCCCAGAGCCACAGAAGTGCACATCTGTGCTCAGGAGAGCTCGTCAGCATCTGCTAGCTCTCAACAGGAATACTTTGCTAAATTCAGTTTCAAAGAACTGTCAGGAGTGCAGGCATCTACTGCCATTTGCACTGGGATCACTGGATTTTGGATTTGTCCATGGTGTACACAATTCCACATCAACAGCATAAGTGGTGCAAGGATCAGGATAATGTGGGGTCAGTAGAGAAACACTCCCTTGTTCCAGGAATATCTACACTTTCCATTCACATTCCCTTCACACAGACATTTCTATGTCTTGTTCAATGACAACAATTCCCACTTTGCTCCTCTGAGTACAGAACAGCATTAAACCCCTGACAGTCCTCGAACACCAGGTTATAAATGACCTAATTCCCTCTTGATAGAAAAGCTTTCACACAGAACATCATGCCTGGTCTCAGTGTTTTTCCATTCTGTGACTGTGAACTTTGATGCTGTATTATCTTTATCTTGCCCTGTGCTGATTCTGAAGTCTGTCCTTTGTTTAATGCATTCTTTCCAAGGGTGAGAGAGAACATTTGGAATCACTGTGCCTATGTCTCTCACATAGAGCTTGAGACAAGAGCTGCCCAGCTACCATCTGCAGCTAAGCCAGACTTTAAGTCAGAAAGGTGCTTTAAAATCAGAATAACCTTGAACAGTGCTATTTGCCTGTCCATGCACCATGCTGGTTTTGCTTCTCTTCCCTTCCAAAAAAAAAGGACAGTTTGTTTCATGTATTCTTTTGAGAAGCAAAATGCATTGTTGCATACCCTCCTTTTTGTATTTGCAATAAATATAGAGCCAGACCAAAAAAAAAAAAAAACCAAAAAACCACAAACTGTTAAATACTACAAACTACAGTGAAAATAAAAGTCATGGTCTTACCATGAAAGTTAAAAAAAAATTTAAAATCCTAGCAGTAATAGGACTAGAGGAAATGGCACAAACTGAGTGAGATCCTTTTAGACATGTATGTGGCAAGAGTGATACTTAAAAATACATTCCAAAATAATAAAATCTCATCTCTGAGTGTCAAATTTCTTCTCTACTATTCAGACATGATTTTCTCTCATGGAAAGACAGGATAAATTGACACATGGCAGCTATTCCACAATATCCTCTTTTATGTACACCCTTTAGTCTGTCAGAAGTTTATAACTGAGGATATTGGGGTCTGTAAAGGATATTGAATCTTAGGGACACCCATAAATTTGGAGTGTATGAGAACTGGGTCACTAGTGATACTCAAAAGAACAAGCTTAAAGTAACACTGTGTGCTTTGAATATGCGTGTCTTTTCTCTTTTCGTTCTTCTTTTTAGACACTTGGCATTCTTCTCATGTTTTCCCTCCTCATGAACCTACCTCTCATTCCCCTGAGAACTCTCACTATTCTGTAAGTGTACACACCACCATCTTTCCTGCCTTTTCATCTCAGCTCTCATAACTTTATTTCATCCCATGTTAGTTTCCTTTTTTTTTTCCTTCTCTATGTGAAAGCTGCTGCATGCTGAGTAATTGAGTACATTTCCCTCCCTGACCCTCGAACCCTTTTCCAGTATTTCCTACAACAGACAGAGTATGAAATAATTAAGTCACAGTGTATTAATTCAAGGACAGCTACCTTTTCAAGGGCAGTAGCCACAGTTATCAATGAAGGGACTCACATTTAGTAAAACCAGCTCTTTTGCAGTCTTGGCACACTTCTTCATAAGTCATCTGACATAATTTAACCCTTTGCTTGCGCACTACAAATGTATCCATTTTGTATGTATGTATTTACTATTTTAAATACACAATTCAGTATCAGAAAATGTTCTGATAAGGTCAAATGCTTATGTGTACAAATAAAGTGTATTTGTGTTATTGTACAAGGTATTTAAGTATGTTTAAGTATGTTAAAGTTAATTTGAAAGCTATACATGGTTAAATGCATTGTGTTTTCAGGGTATTAATTTGAAATCTGACTTTTTGCTTAGTCAAATTCTTAGAGTGTTCCCAACATTTCAGTACAACCAGCAGCTTCTAACAGATACCACAGAAACCTTCAGAAAATATTTATCATAATTTTTCTTATGTCCTCTTCCCTTTCTGGAGCAACATTTATAATTCTGCAGTGATCTAAGACTAGAACTTGATATATATACTCCAGAACAAAAGATAATTTGAATTAAATGTACCTACAAAAGAATGCCTTTACTTCTGCAAACAAATTATTATTATAGTCTGTTATATATTTATATTTATATTTATATTCACATCTGATGGCTCTGAACCAATCTAAAATGTGATCTTATCGACAAAATTCCTACTTCAACAAAAAAGGTTATATTTTGACATGAAAAACCAATAGTATTTGACAGAGGGTTTGTATTCATTTATTAACATCAGTGTGGGTTTATAAAATTTCTAATTTATGTTTTTTCTGAGAGAAAAATCAACCCTGTTAAAGAGCTATTGCAACATAATTCTTAACAGCTGCGAAACAGAAATAGGTTGTATAAGGAGCAGTTGTTTTACTGCACATTTTCTATAAAGTTGTCACATGAAAAACATACTTGGCAAGTTATTCAATTTATAGACTTATTGAAGATTTATAGCCACTCAAGATGCTTGCAGTACTCACAGGTGGCATAGCTGTGCATGAGGCAGAGTGCCAAACAAACAGCAGTAGTAACTGTTCAACAGTGTGTGGTGTTTGCAATAGAGCAGGGTGATCTGTATCAGTTTACTTACAAATGTAATCCATTTGATTTCACTTCCATTCCAAAACACTTACTTGACCTGAGACTTGGCATGCTATGCTCCAACTCAAGGCAAGCCTATTTAATAAACTGACAAATGCTCTATAACAGGAGCTAATAATGGAAACATGTTCACTGTGAACTACTACTCAACTCTACAAAAACTCTGGATAACTTTTGTACCCTGAGAGTTGTTCATAGCTGAAATAATTCCTGTGTTTATATTGCCATTTGCACTGCTCTCCAAAACATCTGAGCACTCCCCCAGCTGTGGTTTAACTGCAGCACTTCTGCACAGATAACTCTTATTTCAGACAGTAAAGGCAAAATGCTGACAAGAGGAAAAAAGACATGTTCTCCCATGACCACTCTGCTGTGCAAATGTTTCTTTGTCTTTCCTGGGATCATATCTTGATGGAGACGTTGTTAAGAAAGAAAACATTTTTAGAAACTGGAAGAAATAAATTCATTTGTGGTCTCCTTCATCCATCCTTGGTAGCTTTCATCGAAGACAACCAAAAGTAATCAATTTAAATAATGAAATGAGCTCACAAGAATTCTCTGAAACAATCTATAAATAAAGATTTTTTTAGTTGCCAAATCAAAGGGACACAATGTCCTTGTTTAGGAAACTCCACTATGGTGGATAAAATTTGACTAAGAATCCAGGTTAAAGACACATCCCATTACACTTTCAATTTCTGACATGTATAATCAACATATAACAGCAGTGCCCTAGTCACAGTGAATTCTAAGGGGTTTTTGAAAGAATTTAAACTATTTTAAATCATTAATAAACATTACTTGAAGCTTTAATACAGATTTTGTAATTAATCCGGTTTTACATATATAGGCATAATTTATCCTTCAGGAGAAAAAATGGATTGAAAATTGCTGCAGGATTTCTAAGCAGGAAATGCTTCATAACAGAAATGCAATGAAGAAATGTGATTCATGTGTGAGCAGGGAACACATAAAGTATTTTGTCCAAAGTGGATCTACTGCATAATGCCCAAAGTACATAAAGGAATGGTCCCACCTCTCTTTTTTGGGGCAACTGGTGGTAAAAGACAAAACGTAATGGTAACCTGACCTGGGTCTGCTGCTTGTCTCAGTAATTGTTTCGTTCTGTTCTGGTGAAAAACACACAACAGGAGCTTTGGGACAGGTGTGGAGAACAAATACAGTAAGCATAACACCTTGATATTTTGGGAGGCTATTCCAAAGATGCATCCCAAAGAAGCTGTGGAAAATGTTAAGGCATAATTTTAAAAAATCCAGCTACCTGTGGTGACTTCAGGAATGGAAGAACTATGCCTTTGAAAAAAAGTGAAACTAAAGCAGGAGCATGGTCAAAAACTGCCGGGCCTTCAAAAAAGTCTGGACTATGATACTTCCTAAATGTTACATGGTAAATGCAGAATATTTTTATCAATTTTATGCTGGGATTCAGAGCATAAATAGTTTTCTGTCTTGCATCACAAAAACTTTTCTGAATATTTTAGTGATTCAAAGTCTCTCTTTTGCTTTAGCAGCATATTTTTAACAATATGAGGCTACTAGTCTTTGGGACTTGAAAATTTCAAACTAGAATGGTTTACTCTATTTTCTTTTTGAAATACATGTTCAGCTTTTGGTTCCTTTGTCACAGGAAAAACATACTTAGTAAGTTACTAAAGAGGAAAGAAAGTCACACATATGCCTTTTCCAAAACCATTCACCATTGAAATAAATACCTACAAGTGGCATGAAAATCCAGACACTTCTCAGATAGACACAGAAAGGAGCAACCACACTTCCTACACGGCACATCATGCTTCCACTTCCAACAGCGAGTGATCTACACAGAAAAGAATTTGAGTAAGAATTCTGGCCGTTAAAGGAAACAATTAGAAATGCACAGACGCTTAAAACATCAGTAAGATTTGTGTCTTTAAGCAATTCTACTAAGAAGCTGTTGCTATGCCAATGTAAATTTATATTGTAGTGAAATTCAGCTGCTTCTGTAATTAAGATTAAAAATATAATTCTCATTCAGCACAGATCACGGGATGAATAACCAGGACTTATAAGAAAGGCATAAAAAAATGTTTAATAAAGTATTGGGTAGTCTTCTAGTTCCCCAATGGAACCTATCAATGCACATGGAATGCAAAATAAATAAAAAACTATGGTACAGCCAAACTCCAGACAGCTCTGAGGCAGCTGAAGAACTCATCCCATCCCAAGTCTTTCAGATCACCACCAGTGATGCCAAGAGCTGCTGGATCTTGTATAGAATAACAAATTAATTAATGAAAATTAATTAATTAATGAAAAATACATAACTGGCAAAAGTTCTTACCTTACTATTGTTGGGTACAGTTCTGCTGTGTAGAGATATATAAGGCCAAATGCCACACCTATGGAAAATTTTCCAGCCATATTTGCTAAGATAATTAATATATTGAAATCCTATTGAAAGAGAGCACAAATAAATATATCACCAGAAAATTACACCCTTCCAAACATAATTTACATTCTTCAAAAGTTGTGATCCTTCAAACAATAAGCAATACTCATTGCTTTCTTTTTAAAATTGCTCAGTAAGTTACTAGTTTCCACATCACTTTTTACCAGTCCTGGTTCACTGAAGCCCTGGGAGTGTTTATATGTGACTCCAGCAATGACATTGAAACTTGTACTGAAAATACAGAAATCTATCTTAGACTGGCAGCTGCAACTTAAAATCAGCCTTTAATTAACTATTCTATGATTTAGAAAGAGCAGCTGCATCTACTGACTTAAGAGCCTTTAAAATCAATTTCTGCTGTAGGAACACTTCCAACCATACGTGACTAACCTGAGGTATGAACATAATTAAAACACAGATCAGTGCACTTAAAATAAGGAACGGAATGAGTGTGTTTCTCCTTCCCAGTTTGTCCATCGCAACGCAAGCAATGATATAGCAAGGCAACTCCACAGCACCTGTCAGTATGAAATTATCTCAGTTTAAGTCATAATTGCACATATTCATCTCATAACTGTAACTTCCTCTTTATGAGGAATTTATCTGATCTAGGGGCTAGTAAACAAGTAAAGTCTAAAGATAACCAGTGTGTTGGGCTAGTTCATTTGGTTACAGAAAGTGTGACAGAAGGCAGAGAACAGCCTAAAATACAGAAGTGGGAGTGGAGAAGGACAAGGGAAACAAGTTTCACAGCAGAGAGCAGCTCCCGTTCTCTTTGGGGTGGAAAATTACAGAAAAGAGCAGGGCCACAGTTCTGTTTCTACGACACTGACACTTTTGTCAGAAAGCTCTACACTTGCTGCTCTTCTCCTTGAGGTATTTTCACATTAACAGCTCAAGTGTGCCCACAGGGAATATTGCTAGTGTCACACTGACACACCTCTCAGGATTTGCCAGCTTCCATCTGGACAGGGAATGGTAGCCACAGGTGCCTCCCCCAGCATCAGCTCAAAATCATCGCAAAGTAAAAGGCAAGAAAGGTCTGTCCACATCCAGTTTTCTGAGTAAGCCCCACTAATACAGAGTGCAGTTCCAGCTTTCTCCCTTCTCCCTAAAAAAAGAGGGCTTACAACATCCCAGTCGTAATACAGATCATCTTGTCCTAATGTTCCTTTCCAGAGAAAAACTTCTGCTGCTCTAAGGTCCTGGCATTTGGCTAGACCTGTTTGCACTGTGTAAACATGATCTGCCCCTAGACAAATAATACTGAGCCAAAGCCAGTTTGGACACGTTTTAAGCCAATTTGCTCTGGAAGAATGCTATTATGTCCAATGTAAAATCAAGGAAGAACTTAAGATACAGCCCTGAACAGCCTGGATTCCTTTATTAAGTACAAATAGCATGTCAATACACCTGTAACATCAGTAAATAATATTTTGGGGTTGTGTTGGAAAAAGCAGGTTGTAATTATTCGGTGTCTGTTAGTTTGCTAAAATATTTTTAGAAGAGGTGGGTACAGTGTACAATAGCAGTTTAGTTATCTGTGCCATACCAGCACCCACTCTTCAACACATCAGTCTAACAATACACTGTAACACATGACAAAACAAACTGCAATAATGAGAGCCCCAGTCCTGCTGTGAGCCTGTGTGCACGATCAGTCACATTCACTTCACTGAGAGTACTCAGCTGCACAAAGCAAAGCACATGATTTAATTCTTCACTGGCTCAGAGCTGCAAGTCTGATCTAGAGTCTTCTGAAGCCAGTGGAATATTTCCACTGATGTTAACAAACTTTGGATCAGGTCTTGAATGCACTGAGCTGTCTTTATAAACAACTTACATGCCAGAGAAAGATTACAGCCAGAATGATAAAATTAAAAGAGTATTACCACTTAATTAAAAATACACTTCTGAGAAAATGAAAATGACTCTTCCTTCTGACAATTATGACTATGTTTTCTACACAGACAAACTCAATATATCATGACTGTAAGTGATAAAAGGAATATTTTTTTCTCCCATTTTCCTAGTTTGTACCTTTAACAGAGCTGTGTGAATTTTGTGTTGCCTGTCTGCTTCCCCTGGTGTTTGTGCAGATCTGCTATAAATTTCCAAGGCAAAGAGCATACAAGCCAGAATATGGTTTTACAATCAGAAAGACAGACAGAGAAGAATTCTGTGCACCAACAAATTCTAATTTTTTTTTTCCTCAGGTACAGTGAAATTTGGAGTGAATGATACTGTGTTAGTCAACTTTATGAAAAGTTAGCAAGAAACTTTTCAAACAAGGTTCACAACTGAATGAACAAAGTAAAAAATTGGCTGTCAAATCTATAGGCATTTTTAAATGTTATGTTCCAGTTCTGTCATTAACAGAATAAGGTACAAGAATATTTACCTATGAGAAAGAGATTTAAATATTCATTGCCTCCTAGACTGACAGAACTGAGGGAGAAGACGTAGTACCCCAAGCTCCCAGTAAACCAGATCAGCCAGACTGTGATGGTCCTTCTTGCAATTTGCCAATTACAAAACAGGTCTAAGATGTTGTGCTTCTTTGCTGAGGACGTATCATCATCACCCGTTCTGCCACTGGCTAAATCGTCTTGTTGGACTGAGCACAGTTCAGAAACTTTGCAGGGAGTGCTGACTTTATTCCATCTTGCCATTGTATCAATCACTTTTTGTGCATCTTCATATCTTTCCTCTGACAGTAGCCAAAAAGGTGTTTCTGGGAGCATCCAGCAGCACAAGACAAAGGGAAGAGTTGCTATGGAGAGAAATATCTGATAGACCCACCAGGTCCGAACCAAAAATCCCACGAGTGCCACAATCATAATTCCCATAGCAAAAAAAGCATGGACATGCATAGAAGCCCAGGTTCGTGCTTTAATGCCAACAAATTCAGTCACATAAACAAAAGCCACAACCAGATAGCCACTTGAAACCTGGGAGGGTGGGAAAGAGAAAAGAAAAAAAAAAAAACAGAGTGAGATGTGTTTCCACTCTCCCAGTGCACCAGCAGTACAAACAAACAGCTAACAATGTTCTACATCTGTGTATGCTAAATTGTCACCGCGCTGGCCTGTCTCACACTGACAGAAAAAAAGGCAACCATGAAAACGAATCAGCTGCAGAAAAAATTCACTCAAACCTCCCGACTGCGTGGATACTATTTTAAAATGTGAAGTGAATTAGGATGCTTCTCTGTAGTGGGGGACAGCCAGCAAGAGACACCTGTGAAGAAACTTAATTTGCTGATGTCATTAAGCCCTTCTCCTCCAAAAATCAGGTCCCTTAATGACATCACAAACTGGACGCTTGGGAAAGAGAGGTCCCCTGAAGTAACTGTCACTTCTGAAAATCTTGATCTCGGCTTTTAAGCAGACCATTAATAACCTGCATGTCAGAAAACTGCACATTTATGAACAATTACCTTCCATACCCTTGTAAAATATCTTATTAAATCAAAGTTTTTACAACATTGGAAGAGAATCTCACATATATACACACAATACAGGTTCTCATATGGCATCAAGTGAATGCAATTACTGGCATGTTCTGCATAATAGTATTTCTTCATTGAATATATATATATTATTGAATATATATATTTTTAAATTTCTCAACTAACTCAACATCAAATTCCTGGTGTCTTAAAACATTGCAAAACACAGCTAGAGAATACAGACTAGAAAATATTTCAGTATATTGTTTTGATTAATCAATTTTCCTGTTAACAATATTCCAGTTAATAGTCTCCAATTCTGAACCCACTGATAGGAAAGCTGCACTGACCACAGTGGCACGGGGCTAGAGTTTAGGACTGCACCTTGCAAATCAGTCCCAGTGGCCAGATAAAACTTACAGCATCAGTCTGGTCAGAGCTTTTTGCTTTTCTAAACTATCAGAGAACCTGGCATCAACAGCCAAGGGAGTCAGCAGAGGGACTCCTGTAGATCTCACTGTTCAAGGCGGACATGATGCAGTTTTTCCTGCTAGGAAATTCAGGCAAAGGGAGCTCCAGGTACAAGGTCCTGTCTTGACTGTCAGCAGGAACAAAATAAATTATGGGAATATTTTCAAATATCTAACCCATGTTAAATAAGTTAGACGATGATTTTTTTTTGTGATGGCATTCTAATTTCTTTATGCATTATGTAGTGAAAAGCTCAAGAATGTACTTTGGGCTGTAAAATAGTTATTTAAAATTGGTTACTATGTATAAATATTGAATATGTGTCAGATATTGGATGTATACCACACACACATAAAATTGTGTGTGTGGGTCGGCATAAACACATATACTGAAATACCCTTAAGTACAGTATAAAACATCTAGGTGTTAAACATATCTGCCTATATATTTAGTATTCTAGACACAGCTTAAAAGACCAAAGAGATGCATGGAAGAGAAAATGTGCATCTCTCCTCCATCACTCAAAACGGTAGAGATAAAAATAATACTTATTATAGATTTGCTAGTTCAAGAAAAAATATATTCCATTTCTAACAATAAGGAGAAATGCAACAGCAGCTGCAAGGCAGAATCCAGAGTTTGCTGCTCACACTTGGTATTTAATTACCAGTCCAGCAGAGGTTGGGATGGAGGAAGTACCAAACACTGCTTCATACAGACGCTTTCTATTAATTCAAAGAGGAAAACTGCTGTGGTCCAAGAACATTCAGACTCTCCCTGCTCTGCTGAAATAAGTGCAACAGATGGGGCTTTAGAATAATGAAGTAGGAGAGGAAATAATAACAAAAGGGAGGTTTTCCTGAGAAGGGGTAAGAAATGACATGGAAAAGGACCGGGGCGAACGTCCTTTCTTACCATAGCGAGGAGAAAGCGCACAATCACGAAACTGTAGTAGTCAAACGTGAAGGCCACTGCGATGCCAAATACAAACTGACCAGCACTTGTGAACCATATAACACGCTGTCTTCCCAGTCTGCAAATCACAGCAGGAATAAAATCATCAATAACCACAAACATTCCATTAAAATACACCTGCAGCTCCAGGGAGCCTAGATGGAAGTTAATAACTCACCGCCGAAATTCTGGTTTAGTTACCTGTATTAATTTGTCAGTAATTCCAGCTTCCAAGAAAAAGGATGAATGGAACTTCCATTCCGCAATTCTTGGCTGGAAGCAACGTGCAGTGAGCATTACATATGTTCACCTCCAGTTTTAACTTCTACGTAAGTGATTGATAATTTTATTCTCTTATTTATGAGAACATAAATCAGTTTTTCAGATATTTTATATTAAGTAGCATCATGTTAATAATTTCTGACAAAAGTTAACTGTGATAACACATGCCATCTTTTGTCAAAGTAACAACCAATTTTGGTATTAAAGAAAGCTTTCTGTAACACACCTTTGTCCAGTTCTTTAAAATTGAATTCTCTAAAAAATGACAACCACACAGTTCCCCATAATTCTTTGATTTCTGACAGCACATATGCATGCATATAAAAACACAGAAATTCAGGAAGAAAGTAAACTAATGGCAAAAAAAAAATCATGTTAAACACTAGATACAGCAGTACATATACAAGACCCCATTGGGAATTCATTCTATCTACAAATGCTCTGTAACACAAACAGAATAATTTTTTTTTTGTGCGGAATAATTTTTCTTCCCCAATAATAATTCCTTGGTCTCTTATTAGCTCCTCCATTGCTCAAACAGCTTTTCACAAATGGAGACAGTGCTTTTAGACAGAGAGTTTGAGGACTTTCAGACTGGTTTTTTTTATGTGAGTATTTGGTACTCCAGTAAAATTCCTCCTGTTTTTTCCCAGCCTTGACCTGAAGTCATGATTTGGTGTTTGATCCCCGCCAGGAAAGATCCCAATAAGTCTTAGCTATCAGAGCTCTTCTGTTGGGAAATCTGTTAATTGGTAATGGGAGAGATACACAAGCTTATTTCCCATGAGCCAGGATGTGTCAGAAAATAATAACTTGCAGCTGTAAATTCTGCAGCTGTAAATCTGCAACTCAGAATGTGTGTATTATCTTAACTGGTTGTCCATGGGTTGAATTAATGGAAATGAGAACAATACAATCCTAACCTTATAAATCATGTCCAAGTATTAATTAATAAAGTTATGAATTATTTAAAGGGACTCAAAACAGATGTTGGCATTATATTCTGGTTTTGTATTAAATAGTTTTACAAAGCCTGGGATTGGGAGGCAGATTGATTCCATGTGTTCTAAAAGCCAAATTAAAAAGAAAAAGTTCATCATTGCTTTTGCATTCCCATGTTGTGACTGTCACACTGTAGTGTTGTGATAATGAAGGAAAATCAGAAAACAACATGCCTGATCTCCTTTTTCTGCTTACACTGTTAGATGTGGGATGAAACGTCACTCTCCACCCAGCAGAAACTGTCAATCAACAGGCTCCTTTATAGAAAGACATAAATAACTCTAAACCAGCCTTCACAGCAAAGCACAGGTACAGAAAGTGCCCAAGACAAAGCTAAGTTCAACTTAGCCTGGACATTTGTTCTCATATGGACAGACAGGCGTGGCTGGGTGCTCTCTGAGGCAGGAATATGCCTGTTCGTGTTGAGAGAGAAAAGCAGCTGAGGCAGGAGGCCACAGATGCACACCCTGAGGCTCACTGTTGCTTCTGAGTCCAGCTCTGATGCTGGGTTTCAGTGGATGGTCTGAGATAACACCCAGGGAGGGAGCATTGGATGGGAATGGGCCTTGGAACAGTGAGCAAGAGACTGCTCGGGTCGAGTCCCTCCAGGACTGATGCTCAAACAGAGCTTTGTACATGCTGGTAGGTGAGTGCAGCTACAGCACAGCTCACCCACGCCCATTTTGCCTCTTATGTTCACAACGTTTCAAGAGACTGAAGTTTAAGCTAATTTTTCATGGGAAACCTACAACTGGGCAGCAAGGAAAAACAGTACATGGGTGTTTATTTTAAGAAGGTGGGGCTTGATTAAACCCCCAAAGCCTTTGCATCAGCTCCATTGAGATGTACTCGTGACAGAGCCTTCTAGTAGCCCTTCAGCTGTTTGTCATATTTAAAAAAAAAAAATAAAAAAAAAAAGGTCTGCATTTACATTTTTCTCATGAAAAATCAGGTGAAAATCTACTGCCGGGTTTTACTATTGCCATTACAATCAGCTATTGCTATTCCTGTCAAAATAAGTAAATAAACAAACAAATAAATAAAAATCTAAAGGCAAATTCTAGCTGCACAGGGCAATTTCAGGGATCAAGGCCTAGAACAATGGATGACAAAGTATGAAAAATTTTTAAAGGAAATGACTAGAGAATACATTTTAAAATTAGAACTTGTTATAGGAAAAAGAAACCAAGTTAAACAGATCTGTGAATAAAGCAATATCCAAACCTCCTGGATGTGTAGTTATGAATACACAATGAATAGAAACAACAAAAACAGGTAGACAGACGTGGAGTTACTGTAGTCTGAAGCCACAATTTTCAGAGGATGACACTTTACCTGTCAGCAATGTCACCAAAAATCACTGCTCCAATCAAGACTCCAAGCATGAACATAGGCTGGATTAGTTTTGCAAGCCATTCTCGGTCACAGACCAAATCCCACTGCGTAACAACGGTGCTCTTCCACTTTGTATCATCATAGAGAAATCCATCAGAACAAGGAAATACAGACTTGTTGCCTTGGTATTCGTATGCCAGATCCAAACTGACTTCTCGTTTGGACCTGCTGCATTGATCAAGTTCCCAAATTTCTCCATTTGCCAGCTGGACTACAATGTAGTTTTCTGTTGATGTCCATAGTGTCCAGATGTCCTCTATACTTGATGCAGAGGAGTTGTGGAAAAGAACACTACTCACATTTCCAGGGAATCCACATACAAAGTTAGGAGTAACAGCCATGAACACAGATGCTAAGTAATGGATACCACATGACATAGCTTGAAAGACAGATGCAAAATAAACACATGCTTGAAATCTGTAAAGGGAAAGAAAACATTTTACTGAGGAAAAGCCCTCTATACATGGAAAAAATATTCAGCATAATTGTTTGGGTAGATCAGTAAATGGAGATATCATTAACGTGTCTAGTGTTTTGTTGTGTGGTGCTGTTTCAATATTCGCTAAGCTCAGCAAAGCTGAGAAGATGAGAAAAAGATCCACAATTTGGAATCTATTGTTAAGAAAGTGCTGCTCTTAGTCATGTGTTCAGTCATACAGAGAAGACAATTTAAAATTAAACAGTTCTGACCTTAAGCACTTAGTTTGAAGCAGACTTCCACCCTCCAATTCTTTGCAGCACATCCCCTTAAAATAAGGCCTCAGATTAACTGAATGGTTAGAAAAAACAAAATGTTGCAACTTCAGCTTCTTAGGGATAGAGATATGTTCATCAAATAAAACAAACCAAACACATTATGACCCTCATTCCACCTAATTGTACCTCTATAGCTGAATTCCATCTATTTTCCATCTCTCTTTATTGCAGCCAAAAGACAAAGAGAGAATACATGTAGACACACGTAGAAGATAGAATCTGAACAATGTGAAATGTTTTGTAGCAAAACAGGGCTCTGAACTGGGTTGGGTTTTGGCTTAAACAGGGTGTGCAGTTATCCATTAAAGATTGTATCATAAAGCAAACCTAGTAAAAGAATGTTTTATGCATAGCCTGAATTTTGGCATTTTAACAGCTTTTAGAACTTGCTTGAGATGCAAGTAGATCTCAGTAAAAAAATTGTACGTGTGTTCAGAATTTCGAAAGACTTGCAATGAACTCTAGTGTCACTGTATGCAAATTCTAGACAGTTTCTGATAATTCAAGCATAAGGAGTCATTTTCTCAATTAAATCTTTAAATTATGCATCTAATTAGTACAACATCTGTTCAGAGAAAACAAAAAAGCTTTTGTTCTCCTCCTTTTTTTATTTCCTGAAGGCCAATCAATTGCAATAATTTGAAGAAGTATTCAATGAGCTTCTATACAAACATTCTTACTGCAGGATGCAGCAGGCCTTGGCAGATTTTTTTTTTTTTTTAACATGATCAGAGGCTATCTCTGCTGAAGTTATAGGAAATAATCTCTAAAACCAAATGCCTTGAAATGCCTTTTGGGAAAAGCTGGAGCAATTCCAATCCCTGTAACAAATGCAGACTCTAGATACTCCTTCTCCAAAATATACCTAATTTATCCATGAATTCCCATAATATAGATCTCAACAGTACATACCCTAGGACTTTTAAATCTATCATCAAAATTTCTAAATAATTTTGAAACTATCTATAAGCAAAGTACTGAAGCAGAATTTACTGGATACATTGTCTTATTACCCAATTAACCTTTCCAATAAAATAGTTCTCTTGTAAAGCACACCTCCAGTCACCATCCTCCTTCTCCTCTGCCTTTTATCTTCTTTCTTTCCATGGTGAATGTAAACCCAGTGGCCTATCCTGTCCTTCCAATGGCATTTGACATTGCTCCTGTTCTGCTGCAGTGCTTTTTATCCCCCTTTCTCTTGACTAACAGCTCTCTTGACTTTTCTACAGCAGTCTGAAGAGAGAGTTGAATTGCTAAACCCACCATGGCAGCTCAAAATCTGGCTCCACTTCCCTCTGGAGGACACTGCAAGGCAATCCTCACACAGGTGCTGTGCTGCTCCTTCCCAAACAAAACTGAAAGATATGGTCAGGAGAAACTGAACATAACCACAGCAACCCTTCAAGTCTATCAATTCTCTCTCAAGAGAACAGCTTCTTGGGGATTAAGTAGCTAGCCATAGATCAAAGCAAGGCTGAAACAGCTCTGAAAGGGGTTTGAGCTATCTTGGACCATAAAAACAAGCAAAGGTTATTTTGAAATGTAACCCTTGGGACCCTATTGATGCAGACAAATATGGTCAACGATGTTTTTTAGTTCCTCTTCTCCAGTTTCATTTTAAAGTGTTCCCATCAAAAGACACAAACTCATTTTAAAAATAGCAAAGCACAACCACATTCAACAACCTGGGCTACTGTTGCAGTATGCAGTAGTAGAACGAGATAATAGTAAATTAAACCCCTAGAAGCTGTCACTTACATCTTCTACTAGCTAGTAAAAAGTGGGATACTAGGAATCAGGGTCCCCAGTAATTGCAGTATCTGTCATTATGCATTAGAAAATTGCAGTGTCAAATATTCCACTTGGTATTTCAGAGAGAGAGAGGGAGAATGAAATAATTTCAAACTCTCATACACACCTCTCAAGTTTCCTGATCAGTTCTTGCAATACAAGAAATATCAGGATCATCATTACCTTCATCTCAGTAAGAAAGAGTAGGAAAAATACATTTATGCCCTTTTTTGTCGGACAGGCTTAAGGGAGATAACAACTTTTAAGGACAGAGTCTGAGAAGATGGCATGAAACAATCCACTACACAAATTTTTACAAATTCAAAGCCCAGCAGTATCACCAGGGCTATGAGCAGGTCTAGTTAATCTCTGCTCTCACTACTCACTTGAGAGTTTTGTCTTATTTCTTCCTGAACATGTCTTGTGATCATACTTCAGCAACCATTTTGACAGACCACTCCACTGTCAAACCTTTCAGTGGGAAAGTTTCTCATTAAATCTAATCTCTATGTCTCCTTTTCAAATATAAGACTATTATTAGCTTATAAAACACCCTGGTACAACCTTGAATAAATCTTCCTTTTCTTTTATCACTTCATTGTACAGAATTCTCAGTTCTCCTCCTCCTCCTCCTGTTACTGCTGACAACCATACAAACTACAGTCTGTACCCTTTCCTCTTCTTTGTGTCCCTTCTTCCTCTCTACCTCTGTAAAAAGCAATAAAGGATTCATTTTAAAGGAATACCTGTCATACAATATTTCACCATCTTTCAAGGGTTTAACTTACAATTAGATATAGCTTATTCTTGTAAAAACATCCTTCCATTTCCAATGCTATTAAAATCTTCAGTTTCAACAAAGAAATCCCCTCTGTAGTACCATTATTTTTCTTATCTAATTTGCAGCATCAATGTTAAGCAAACACAAGAAGTCAGAATACCAGATATACATTAACAGACAAAATTTATGCTGAATATGACTTCATTTAAGAATGGGAAAACGGGTTTTTACAGCAAAATGACCATATTGATCAGAATTTTGCAGGCAGGATTGCACTGCAGTTTTTAACCTCTACCTGCTCAATAAAAGAGCCAAGGAGCAGGCAGGGGCAGCTGGGATAGGGAAGAATAAGGCCTGATGTGAAGTTAGAAAAGCATTTGGAAGCACCAGGGTCTGAAGGCATTCTGCACCACACCAACAGGCTGCTCCCCTGCCTGCAAAAACTATTTAGTGTTCTCTCCAGTAAAATTCCACACTGGACTGGCTAAGCCTCTCTCTGTATATACTCTGTATGTGCATATTTTTGTACATACAAAACACAGAAAAACTACCCTGAAAGCCCAGTTTTGCTGTGAAGGAAACCCACTGCTGACTACAGCAGTGTTTTAACAGCATTCCCACCGGTCCTAGACTGAAAAGCCCAACCTTATGAGCTTCTGCCAATCTCCTGTGGGTAGGAAGAGCTTTTCTTCCAGAAAGACCAGTGGTGTAAATGTCAGGAAATTCCTTAACCTGTATAGTTCCCAAACAGAAATGAATCCAACCATTAGGGGCAACACAGGGAAAGAATGGAAAGTGTGTAGGGAGGTTGATGTGTAGGGATGCAGGAAGGTAAGCATGTAGGGATGGGAAGAGATGGGAGAATACTACAGGTTCATGGAATTTTGCTTTCCAGAACAGCTGGAGATTGAAAAGGGACAAAGGCACAGGTCCAGCCCCAGGGCAGAGAGAGGAACAGAGCCTGGGATGGCAGAGAGCGCTGAGCGAGGAGGAGCACAGAGCTGCTGCCTCCTCTGCAGCCACCTGGGCCGCCTCCCTCTGAACCCCTGGGTCCATGAGCTGGATGTCAGACCCATGTGGATGCCCTGCCCCAGTCTCAGAGCCCTGGCACGGGTCCCTGGCCCGTGGCCATGGCCGGGCCCAGCAGCCTGCGGCCCCTGCGGGAGCGCGGAGCAGCTCCCGGGGCCAGCAGGTCACAGCACAAGGCATCCAGGCCACGCACTTCACTGACCCCGAGGCACGGGCTAAAGTCTAGGCTGACCTTGCTCCCCACTGTCAATTATTAACTTCTTCCCAAATTCTTCATTTGAGAACACCAAACCGGTAAGAAAGTCCTTTATTACTGAGCTTAAAGCTCTCTGTTGCAGACAAATACATACTATAATCTCTTTGTTAACCACACCAAACTCAATGTTTAAAGTTAAATTTCCCTGAGTAAAGAAATACTGTTGTTCATGCATCAAAATGGTAAGAAAATATCATTGCATTACCAGGAGCAAAAAACACTATTGAAATTCACCAAAAGAAAGCAAATTCTGTGATTTATTTTCCAGGACTGATCTCAGAAAGGGCAGATTTTGGCAATAGATTTTAGATACCAGTCATCTTCACATACACACAACAGATTACAGAACATATATTGTTGTAAATAGTCTGACCTATTTTACAGATATGTTTTCCTTTTTAAAACCCCCACTTTTTGCCATTTATAAAAAAGTTCTGTGAACATGATGACTGTCCTGAAAGGTATGATAATTTCTCTCAGTGTTTTTCCATCTCTTCAGTGACTTGCCATGGGAGATAATTATTTGGCAAGTACATTTTGTCACTCTTGCCAGGAGTGTCAAATATAGAAGTCAAGAAGACTTTATAGGTTACTGCTCCAGTATAGAGATGCTTAATGAATGCCAGAAGTCAAATGAGCCTAAAATTGTCTTCACAAAAGCAAGACACAACATGAAAATGTTCCAGTCCCTCTTAAAATATTTGTGATATTTCTCCACAGTCTTTTTTTTTTTTTCACTGTGCAGCTTATAGTAAAAAAATATTTTTTAATTTTTTATTTCCTCTGTACCAGTTCAAAGATCAG